AAAATCCGGCTGAGCCAACCCAATACAATTCCATACTTGAAAATTCTTTTTATGAGTATAGTTAGTTGGTAGTCTGTTGCTTGAGTAGGTGTTTATTTGTGTAAATGCATCTTTTATTTCCTGTTGGTTGAGTAGAGGCTTAAATTGTGTGAGTAGAATCTGATTTTGTGTGACAATGTTGTAGATAATAGGCTTGTTATTATTGCCCAATGTAATCATAGTAGGTTTTTTACCTCAATTATTTATTTTTTGTATTCATATAGCTTTCTAGTGTGTTTTAAATACTTGCTGTAGCTGATTCCCTACAGATATAGCTTCAGATATTGGAGTACTCTTCACACAGAATTCCTGACATTATAAACGAAGTAAGAAACACTTCCAATCTGACTGTCTGTCTCCTTTCCTTGAAGCATACAATAATGACGTGTTGCAAAAGTTTGCCTGTGTGGGATGTTTGCAGGACACAATACAGCTCTGGTCTTGACGTTGCTTAAAGGATAAACTCTTGGTAGAGGCCCTTGGAAACTGTTTCTGAATAGACTCTGAACTGAGCCTACTGGCGGTCATGTAGCTGAGAATATCGGAATGGATATATTGTGATGGTAGGCAGTGATTTACTCAGTGTTTCTCATCTAGATTATAGGGGTTGTATTGCAAAAAAACAACTCCCCTTGTTCCACTGGGAGTCAACACATAGAACTTTACATGGTTTCAGATGATCCATGCTGTCTTGTGGCAACAACTGGCATTTGAGAGTAACTGAACAGCAACAGCTTCTAGGTATTACACTAGCTGGTGCTTGTGTGTAAGGTAGTTTCTTCTACTCAAAACCTGTCTAGGAAGAGTGAATAGCGGTCACCTCACTATCCCTAGAGTTAATTATGTATTTTCCTATGATAGAAAAGGTTGAGATATTCTGAGTAACAGGGGAAAATATTGGATGGAGAATGAACTGTAAATGACAGGTAGTGCTGAGACATGAAGCCGGGCATGTGGCTGCTACTGAGTCTAGCCAGGGTATTTCTGCTGACTCGGGGAGATTT